GAAGGCACCTCAGGAGCTGTTGCAACATGCACTATTTACTCCAAAGCTGCTTTGCTATTTGCCTCTACAAAAGGAAAAACACAGGGAGCCAAAAATCAGATGATGAGAACCAAGAACAAATTTCACGCTGCTCAGCCTTCTGCCCCTAGTGAGTCAGGAAAATCTTCAGCAGGGCCTCTCCGACCTTCAAAATGGTTAGATTACCAGAAGATTAAAGTTATCAAACTCAAGACTGAACTCCTGTGAACAGTTAGCTTTTTATCAGCAGATTCACTTGACTGCTAACCATAACTGTTCACAGTCTGTGCAAACTTTAAGCAAAAGAGGTCAAATAAGGAACCCATCCAAAGAACATCTTTTGTTCTAACAAATGGCCAGAGCTTCATCTGCTAAAAGTCTGAGTTTACATCACACAGTTGCGTATAAACACTTAAACTGAAAAAACTACAATGGAACACGAAGCCTTAACAAAAGTGGGAGCTACTCCACTGCTGACATTACTGCTCTGCTGAGGGTAGTAAACAAACCTCAGTGTAGCATGCAGGCCACAAAGAAGCCAAAATGTTGCCAAAAGCACTTATTAAAAAAGCAAAAGGACTCATAAATGGGCTTCATTTAGAGAAAAAGGGAGAACCTCATTTTCAATGCATTTTAAAAGGCTAGATAGTTTGAACATCTCTCTCTCCTCCTTTAAATTTCTTTCTCTTACCCTAAACAAATGTAAATCCTGCCTGTTTATTTCTGTCCTTTGATAGCCTTGGAAGTATATGAGATGGTTTGCAATGGACATGCAGTAACAAGATTGCTCACAAAACAGATACGCACCTAAGCAGACTGATTTCTTCTCTCTCTCTCTCTCTTTTCTAAAAGGGCTTATGTAACAGAATCATTTACCGTATTTACTCAAATATAAAGTGACCTTGACTATAAAATGACCACCCCCCAATAATTAAGTTTATATATGGAAAACATATACATTTGTTATAATCTAATGATTGGAGGTTTGCCTGGAGTTTCCCCCCCTCCCACTGCTACAGCAGGGAAAATAAATCTGGAGGGTCAGATACCCACCTTGCCCTGTGCCCCCCTCCCCCCCCACCCCCAACTTCTTCCCCTGCTCTCCCTGAACACATGAAAGTGATGGGAAAATTTGAAAACACTGACTTTGAAATAAACATACCTGCAGTTATTTGCCTATAGGCAAATTACTACAGGTACCGATACACTTAGCTCATCCAAAATTGATGCATTTTACCCTTTTTGAAACATCTGCAAGTTTTAGCACAGGTACTCCATGAACACATTTTAAGCAATACTTTTATATCTACTTAAAAACTATGTATGATATTAGTCCAAAGCTCATGATTTGCCATATACGGGTTTCCCTCGCTTTATACTGTACATTCTTTCCTGGAAAACAGCACATAACTCAAATTCGCATAAAGGGAACCCATTTTACAATGTAAGAAACGGGGATACGTTCCAAGACCTCAACTGTACTGACCCCCAGACCTATTTCTACCACTTTTACAAGACAATTTTGGTACTCACCAACAGCAGACAGTACACACAAGCACAGGACACTATCGTAATGGAGATGGCAACTACAGAAACACGTGCTGCAGACAATGAGTGAGGAACACAGATCACACAGGAGACTATATTTTGGTGCATGTCCCACTCCCACAATGCACCGCACAATGCAGCTGACTGTGGGCTTCCACCACACTGATCACATAAGAGTGAATTTACCTCGCATATAAATTATTGGCATAAAAAGGGCCATGCATAAGAGTGAATGCACACATACAGAACCCACATAAAGTGAGGGAAACCTGTACTTCTTTGGGCTGGACTCCAGTAGAGTCAACTGTGTTTTAAGCCATAGTGATCAGACAGCTCAGCACTGCCTGTGTGTGTACTCCACGTACCCACCACAAAGGATTCACGTGCAAATTAACTCCTTCCCCCCTTGCCCACTCATGACTGGAACCAGATGTTCTTGTCACGAGTCCCAGGATCCTCCAAAGATTTATTTGTAGGTGAGGTGCACGGCAACCTGGTCCAGCTTCACCTCATGGAGGGTGGGGTCATAATAATCATATGCAACAGGCTGAGAGAGGGGGCAACAGAGGAATGCTGGGTGAAATGTTTGGGGCCTCATTTGGTGATGTTTGCCAGAGATTTAAGGCTAGTGAATAAACAGGAATCACTGGAAATGGGAAAGGAAGGCAGAGCTCAGCTGTGGGAGTGAAGAGGAAGTTGAAATGTATTTGATGTAGTGGCTCAGAGTGACTTGAAAAAATGTCACTGCTAAAGAGGACTGCATTTAATGGACATTACCATATATCTTATCCAGACAAGTTGTTCTAACTTATTCTTGTGGTAAGCTCCCATCAGTGTGTTTGCTCAATACAGACTATGTGTTTTATAGTTATGCTATGCATTGGCTGCATTTAATCAAACTTCATAGTTGGTTTTCATTACTGCACATGCTGCTTTTGGAAGCAATTTAATGATAGACAGTGTATGAATTAGGTTTCCTTTTATGTGAATGCAAGATGAGCTTTTTTCTACATGTTGGTTGCAGGATGGGGGGGACCTTGTCCTATATTTGAGTAAATACAGTAAATGTAATTGAATGCTGTGCTTCAGACCAGCATATTTCAGGTTTTCATGTCCAATTGTTTCCATTTCTTCCACTTCTGTGCTAAATTGGGGTAATATTCACTTCTATTTACTTTTTCACAAGAAACAAAATAGCATCAAGTAGTATCATTCTGGAAGGCCATTAAGACATAACTGCTCACTTGCTTTCTCATGGGAGTTATCTAACTTCAGCTTTTGAAACTGTTGTTGTGGCTTTTTGGTCAGCAGAGGATGAGAGTAACAGCAGAGAGAAAGGAGCTTTCTTCAGCAGCCATGTTAATGCAAGCGACACAGCAGCACAGGTGATCATTATATCTACCAAACTCCTTTTCTTCTCACAGGACAGGGAATTGTGGGACAAGATAAAGGAAAAGGTAGTCTAGTCAGCCTCATAGCCTTGGCTCCCGCCTCCCCACACACCCATAAAAAAAAATCCCTGGGTATGATCTTCACCCCAGCTCAAACAATTTGCTACATGAAAGGGCTAAAGAGGTTTAATAGAGTCCTAAAGGTTTCTAACACGGAAAGATTTTCTCAGTACACACCAGACATAAGGGGTATGGCTCACCCCATAGGCTAGGGACAGAAATTATACGTACACAGGTAGAAGTGATTGGAAACCGTTTCAAGTCTGTAACACAATATTCGTTCAATGCACATAAACCACTTTTAAAATGGCCAAAACTGGTTTAAGATACATCTGGATGGATGTAGTATCAGACTTAACTGATTTAGGTTAAATCAGTTTATTGAACTTGTCCCAGATCAAGTTAACTCACAGTCCACCAGCATCCCAGGATGGTGTGCACCTCTCCTGCAATTCTTTCCCTCCCCCCCAGGGTGGATGGGTGGGCTAGCCTTGGCCCATGCTGTCTGCTCCAGCCAAGCATGGAGGCATGCTGTAGTGCCCCCTAGCTTCTGGCCTGAGCCACTGCAGGCATGTGACTGCATTTGTAGAATCAGAAGTGAATGTCTGTTCACTTGATTCAGTCTCAGGCTTTTTGACTGTGTGTACTCAACCATAAGGGATATACCTGGGATGGCTACAGCACATAGCATTCCAGAGATTATAGGCAGTGCTGGTACCCATCAGGAACTGGGGAAAACAGGTTGGGCAGTATGTATGAAACTAGGAGACACAACAGTGCTCTTGATAACCAGCTTAAAGCTACCACAATCTCTTCTCCCTGGGCTGAGTTCTGTGCTTGTGTCTCAGGAAGGTGCAACATCAAATCTCACAGCTTTTCCCATATACCTTCATTTACAGGGTAAAATTATGGCCCCATTTAGCTTAGTGGTAGCCAAACTAGTGATCCTCATATTACTACAGCAGTTACCATGAGGTGGGATGCTGTCAGCTACATCCAAGGCAGCCTGCAGCTGCTCTCTGGCACTAGAAAAAGTTTTACCAGGCTAAAATCCCAAGGCAGTTTATTGATTCTCCTCTATATATATTTGAAAGTCTTACCAGGCCAGTAGAGCCTAGAGCCATAATTTCCCAACCTGAATTGAAGGCTCAAAAAGGAATAAGCTTCCCTCTCTCCTTTGGCATGCTCTTAATTTGTCTAACCTTTCTCCTTGCTGGTGCCAGAATTACTGAGGTTGCAGTTGGAGGAATATATAAGTTTTCTGTCCTTCTAGGTGGGTCCTGATGCTTTTTGTCTACCTTCTGTGCCTTGGTTTTGCCACACTATTCTGACTAGGTCCATTATGGTCTTATACATGGCACTTTTTCAGTTGACAATGATTGCAAAATATCCACCAACTTATGTTTACCCACTTTCACTCTTCCATAGGAATCTGGAGGTCAGACACCATCCATTGCATCAGATCCTGAAAACCTCTAAAGTCATTCAAACTGCTAGCAGGAGAAGGAAATCAAGTCAGGGTAGGGTCTCCAGTCTTCACTTAAGCCAAGGTTAGTAAAGCATCCTCTTGTTCTAGTTACAGGAGCTGAGAGCACTGTGGGGCAGCCTGCAAGGCCAGGCTGTTAAATGGGTCTGTAAGCTGATAAAATATGCCTTTATATGACCACTGCTCTTTGGCGCCCCTGGCCAATACACCCACATCAGCATAGCAAAAAAAAGGTATGGGAAGGCAGGAATCAGGCCCTTTGGAAGGGTCTCTTTCAACCCTGTGCCTGTCCCAAGATGTTCTCCTGGTTTTCCTATGAGATAGCAAAGAGTACTGTGGGACATGCCAAGGCATGCCTACAGTATTGTTCTAAAGAGTCATCTTCAAAGTATGACAAAGAAGTTAAGCAGAATGAACATAAAGATTCCATAGGTGACATGGAAGAGCTCAGGAATGATGAAGACAACACCACCCTGGCGCCTCCCTTCCTCACTCACCTTTAGGCTCCCATAATGTAATACAGCCATTGGACCCCAGAATGCACCACATCTACACACCAAAAAGGAAAAAGCAGTGCATCATGGGATATGTAGTCAGACCAGGAAGCCAGGCCTATATATTAGCATGGGAGCATAAGGCAGCCAAACTACAGCTCCCAAGATTTAACTTGGTTGCATTTCAGAACTGAAATGTTTATTTTTCAGTTTTTTTCCAGTCAAAAGTTGTCAAGGAAACATTGCAAAGATTTCCAGCCTACTCGCCACTGTTTCCTCTCCACTCTGAACCTCCTTTTTTGTTTTCCAAACAGGCAGATCAAATCTCTGCTAGCAAACCAAATTAAATACACTGTCTTGCCTTCAAAGTAGTGGCAGGGTACCTAGAACCCAGGATAAGCGACACCATCTATATTTTAGATCTAGTCAACAGTTGCAACAATTATTCCATATCAAGCAAGAAAGTATGATCTGAAAAGTGAGGTTCGGAAATGTCTGCCTCAGGCATTCAAAAACGCATGGGTGAGGCTCCCACAACATGTTAAGACACTGATAAAATGTTTAGGACATTAACGTCAGGTTCTTTTCAATTGCCCTTGGAGTTTGTTTTACAGGTTTTCACAACACTCGCAAGGTCTAGAAATGTACCCTAAAAGCATAAGGAAAACTTAGATTCATACATTCTCTCAGAACTCCAGGAACTCTGCTTTAAGTAATATATCAACTAGGCTGAGACTTGCTATAAAATCATAAAAAGCTGACAACACCGTAGTCCAAAGACAAGAGAATCACAAAAATAATGTTTACCCTCAGCTATTGTCCCCTCATTCAGAAACCTGAAAGGCTAACCCTTGTTTCCATTAAATGGAATGCAGGTGCAGCAATGGAGGAAAATAATGAGTAACCATTAGTCTTCCAGGAATGTGTTTCACAGTACGCATGGGGAGGAATAAAGGAGGCCAGGGAACTTAACTGGTGTTTCTCAACCTTTTGGATCCCACAGCCCACAATAAACAACTACAAAGTGATCCTCATGACCCCTGGAACTGGAAGCTGTCTAGCCAGAACCAGAAGCACTGTAATGTAGCCACCTTAAATGAGACACTATGTTGGTGAAAGACAGCACCACACAATTACCTGAGCTAGCTCTTCACACGCTACCTCCCTAACCAGAAGTAGCTACATTAGCATGGTACTGCAATTCAGTCTGCCTCTCAGAACGTGCCCAAAGGGTCCTGGCACCAGAGGACTCAAGATGGCCCTACTTGAACACCACTCATCCAAGTCCACAGAAATGCTCCACTCCCAGAAACATGTTGGTGAGGCTGCTCTGGTAACAACCCTCTGCATTTATTCTTGAGCCCTAGGTCTTTCCATGGCTTGAGACTATTTGAGGACTCTCCCTGAACCTCTCAGGGGCCTCTCTAGGGACTGGTCTTAGAGAAGCATAGATAGAGTATTCTTAGGCTCCGTGGTGCCGGGGCCAACTGCCACCCCAGTACAGGAAAAGACAAGTCTTCATGCCTCGAGGTTCAACAAAGCTTTCAAAGTCAGCTTGGATTGCTGCTGTAGATTGAACACAGTTGGGTTCCATATAGATAGTGGGCAGGTATGGACTTAAAGGAGGTTAACAAGGTCAGTCCTATCTAGCAATGTGCCCAGGGTTTCCAACTCTCACCATGTTGTTATCTCAACTTTTGCAATATTTATAGTTCTTCTTAAAGCCCTGGTTGCTGGAAGCAAGAGATTTCAAGAAAAAACTCAGCTTTTGTTTTTTTTAAAAAAAAAAGCAGTATATTTCTGGTCTTTGTGGTTATAGAAAAAAAGCTTAAAAACATGACTTGAATGTACCCTAAGAACTCAAAAAGTAGAAAAAGAACTGAAACATTATTTTTAGATACCATCATGATTTTAGGAGCCCACATTATGATTTTTGAACTCTTATGATTTAATACAGATGACCCACTAAGGGTCTCCATATCTTGTAGGCAGAAGCTAGCCCCTTGCTCCATGCCTGGTTAGAGAAGAAAGGAGTAAATCTCCCCAATATTGCTGTGAAACTCAGCAGGACATTTTGCTTCTGGGTTTCAAGTAAAGCCTAAACTGATGGGGGCCTTGCAAATGTTTCATTTTGTGCAAACCAAACTTCATAACCAGCAGCCACATGAATCATAAGCAGGAGGTTCTGCACAGCTCTCGTCAAAATTGTCTCAATAAGGAATATTCAGACCTGGTGCAAGTGGGTGGGACTGCTCTGCCTTCAGTAAAGTGGCATCCACTGACAGTGTAAACTGGAAACCATCACGTTGAAAAAAACTGATGCAACAGCCTAAATCCCAAGGTACACTTAAGACATGATTAACCAGTTAATTAGGTCTCAAGTTGCTACCCAATTAATGGCATAATAAAACAAGGAATAAGTCACAACGTTATTAAACAAATGGTGTATCTACATGTCTCTGTGCTTTAGTACTTCCTCTATGCAGCACGTGGTTAGTTTTTGCCATTATTTTGCCATAGTGGCGCACTAAAATGGGGGAGTGTGCCACTACAGCAAAGTAGCTGCTGATCACGTATAGACTCACATGATCACTATGTTGCCATAGCACTCTGTACAGTGACATAGCTCATTGCTACAGCGGCATAGGGTGATCTATAGATACACCCAAAAAGTCTCATAATTTTGTGGCTGGTTCCTATCATACCATTAATTGAACGTGCGGCCAGGTTGGGACTCAGTGTCTGTGTCTACATAAGTGATGGACTGCGCAGTTATTGCACAGTCATTTAGTACTTGTATAACCAAGTACTAAATGACTGAACAGTAATTGGTGTTACTGCACAACAGCATCCCCAGTTTTTTTCTGACACTGCTGTGCAGTAGCAACCAGTTACTGCACAGTAGCATTGCATCATGGTTAGCACCTTCCGACACTACCATGCAGTAGCATCTCATATAGATACGCCCAGTAAGCAGCAAGCTCCAGAGCTGAAAGGGCTCCCAGGTGTGGGAGCTTGCTACTTGTCAGTACAGGAGAAGCCTGGGATTGTGATCCCAGACTCCCCTGACATGAAAGATTAGGTATAATAGGAACTGATGCCAGATTCCACAATCATGCTTCCTGCCATGCACATGTAGCATGCGATTGTGGAGGTCCCACATCAGATCATGCCTTTACTTGCACATCTGCCAGGGGCCTAATTAAACAGCAACAAAGTATAAAACCTGTATGTATTGGTTAATAGCACTGCAGCTGAGGGTGCAGCATCCTGTTTATATTTAGTGCAATGAGATTAATTTATGATTCCCCAGAAGGGCATAGGCTATAATCACACAAAGGTCAGCTCTGTGCAGGCTCTCTTGTTTAGTTAGATAGTGTTTAGGTTAGACAATCTATTGTTGATATAATCCCGTTGGAGTAGTCTCAAACTTTCCTGGAAACAGAGAGTTTGACGTAGATGGGCCTGTTAATTCAAGGTAGGAAAACTTTCTATGCACCAGGATATAAATGGCTGGCTGTCTCCAAGATGCTGTTAGTTGTATGAAGTATATGCCCTGACAAGCAAACCCTGCTGGACTCATCATATTGCCTGACCATGTTTCCAAAAGACCAGATCCCACACTACCCACTAGATGCCTATGTATAATCCTATTCCACTCCGACTAAGTCACTGAAAAAATACTAATCCATCTGCTTTTGTAACACACAACCATCTTACCCCTTAACACAAAATTGCAGAAAGCAGCAAGTAGTGTGCAGACCCATCTACCTTTTGCATTAACTGTCTTTCATTGCTTCAAGCAGGGTGGAACAGGATCACACACAAGTGCCCAATAGGTACAGTAGGATCTTTTCTCAGTCTCTCACACAAGTCACACAAGACCATTGCCAAACTGGCAAAGTGATAACACTTTTGAACATTAGTGGCATCAGCTGTGAAATACAGCTAAAAACAATGCTCCTTCTAGACAATGTAAATTATATTCCCACTCCCTTTATCTAATCTGGAGACCTTTCTCTCAGTTTGTTGCAGAACTTCAATGTCATTGGACATAGTCTCACATAATTGCCAACAGGATACCTATATAAAATAACATCTGTTTGTCTGTAACTGGGGAAGCAAATGTCATGGGGTCACTTCCAACTCCTCTTCCGTCTTCTCTTAGGCCAGAGTATTTGAAAGGATACTCCCCTCTTTGGGGTTCAGTTTTGAAGGTCTTTATCAAACATAGGTCATCTGGTAGTGATGTTCTGGCAGTGATGGTCCAGGAATTTGCCAGAGGCAAGGATTTTTATGGGTTGTATCTTTTATTAGATCAACTGCATAGATATCAGACTTAGACAAGATTAGGTTACAAGGCACCTTGCACAGAGGGATGTCAGAGTAACAACCGGTACCATGAGGTGGCTACACTCCTGCTCCCAACTTCCTCCCCATTCCCTGCCAAGACAGGCAGAATACACCACAGGAGCAGGAGTCACTGGACTTTAAGCCCCACAGAAGGTAAGAATTCCCCACTTCCGCTCCCTACCCAGAAACACAGCCACTCTCCTCACCATCCTCTCCCCTGCCTGCCCCACTATCCCGGGGACAAGGGGAGATCCTTTCCTGCTTAAACTGGACTGCACAAGGTCCAGGCTCAGTCCAGGACAGCAGCGGTGATGATGGCAGTGGGTGGTAAAATCCCCCCCTTTCTGTGCCTGCTCATGGCCTGGCAGGATGAGGAACACCCAGGAAAAGCAGGCAAGGAGAGGAAACCTACTTGCCCACTGCAACTGTCCTGGGCTGAGCCCAGGCCCCATGCAACCCAGCATCTCCCCACTCCCAAGACAGTAGGAGCACCAGCAGCAGCAGGTGGGGGAAGGGAATGTGCCTCAGAGCATGGGGAGGAAGGGAGCAAGGATTGTAACCTTCTTTGAGACTTAAAAGGTCCCCAGCCATGGTTCCTGCCATGGCCAAAAAGTGGGGTGCAACCACATTACTGCACCTCCTATGGATCTGCCCCTGAAAACACCATTAACTTATGCTTGTCTAAACTTCTCCCAACCATGCA